ATACGTTTCATAACCGCAGTTCATACATATGTTTCATATGTTTGTTGTTGTTTGATTTATCATCTACGGGTTCATGTCGAATTAATTTGATGGCCTGCTCTCAGTTGGCTTGTTAGCTCAATTGGTAGAGCGCTGCACTAGTATCGCAGAGGTCAGTGGTTCGAGTCCCGTACAGGCCTGAAATTTTTTTCAGGTCTGATTTTCACTATTGCTCAAATAGTGCTTTACTGCGAAGGATCGTGCACATATACGTAATATATTATGTTGATTGTTTTCTAGTACCATAACAACATTCATTTCACTCCTGTAGACAAAAATAAACACAATTTGACTAATTCGTGACCGGCAAAGACGAAATTGAGTGACGACAGTAACAAGGGCAATATAGCGGTCCCCTAAAGATGTGCAATATTGAAAGCCCGAGTTCACGCAGCTATGCGTCTAGTCAAATATAAAAAAGCTAATTTGTCCCCAGATTCTTTGCAACTGCTCTTTGCGCCAAAACGGAACAGCTACACAATAAGTTATTTACTTGAGGCAACAAGTTGAAATTCTTAGTTGCTTTAAGCACAAATCAAACGGAGTGAAGTATGCTGGTAGTTTCAAAGTGTAAGTAGGTGCTGGCGTCAAAGGGATAATTTCAAAACACTCAAATGTCAGTTCATTTGCTGAAGAACAAAAGAATGTTCCAAGTTCACCCAAATCTCCAAATTTTAATACAGTAGCTGTGCCATCAGAATTTGGCATCCGTCACCATTTCTATCATGAGAGTCAACAGTATAAAATAAACCATTTCACTGAGTTAAAATAGTCAAAGCGACATTTCTAAAAATGAAAATTGCCTGTTTGTAAGTTGTGAAAGTATTCATCAACGCTGCACAAAAGTAAAGGCGGGATAAAGGGTGTCATGTGCATTGATCAAACCTTGTCGGCGCTCTCCATATTTTATGTTGTAAATATCACAATCAAGGTTTCGTCCTTCAAAACTTGCCAACCGCCACCTTTCGGCAAGACTGAGCAAACGACAACTTAATGTTGTGCTCGAGAAGTTTTCTGTTGACTCAAAGGTTGAAAAATAATTGGACTCGACAGTCGAATGGATGCTCTTCACGAATGAAATCGACTCAGAATTTGTTACAAAGCCCAAACAGTCATTTCATTTTGCAGCTGAAAGGTTAGCTTCAACGAGCGATCCACCTTTTTTTGAATGGTTAGCTTCAATGAGCGATCCACATTTTGATTCTATAACTGCAAGCCTTTCTTTCACCTCAACAGGCAAATGTAACTCAATGGTCGATTTATTTACCTCAACGGGCGTTGCTCGAAATCGATCGATATTTCCACGTGCAGTTTACTTGATGTCCTCACAAACGCCCCGATATAAAAAACACAATCGACTGCGCATGTCTCCGATCTTACATCCGACAAATTTTGGCTTTTTCTCGCTATTGTACTGAAAGAATAGCCTGCTGCCTCGCTAGGGCTCGCCGGTAACAATGGTTGAAATGATACTCTTTGTGATCGGCTGATTATTTTTTGTGCTTGTAGACAAATGTAAGCAGTTTTGGCTTTCCGTTTTCGGAGATAGTTCAGTATTGCCAAAACAGAGTTTGCGAAAGCAGGTGAGTGAAAACAGTACCACGGGAGCAAAAATGGTATCATAATTTGTTTTATGAATCTGCTGCGGTAGAAGTCCTTTGTAGTTAATTGGGCAATTTCTGTATATATAATTTACCATCTATTGGTTCTACATCATTCTTGAACAGAATAAAGATGTTATGTAATATGTTCTGTATGTTATGTAAGAAAATTGACTGATGTGTGACTTAATGACTGAATAACTGACGGATTAACTGAATAATGATTGACCGGATTACCGACATAGTTAGATTGATTGCTTAATCAACTAGTGATGCATATTGGCCTTTTGTCAGTCTCAGTTTGCTACTTGGTTCATTTTTAGAATGATATAGTTATTATATCAATTTGTAAATCGCTATTCAGTTAATCTTCCAAAGCGTTTTACAATCGCTACGCTAAGGTAGAAGCTGGTATCTTAGCTTTTGTTTCTGCGTGAGTTATAGAGTGTTGATCAAATTACGAAGAAGTCAGCACATGTAATCTTTTCCTGCCTGCGTTTGTAGAACGACACCTACACATACTAGCCTCTTCGTTTGTTTTACCGCGTGTTGAGTATCGAGTTGTTTTCAAAACGAAAAGAAGCCAGAGCGTGTAATTTTTCCCTGCCTGTGCTTATAGAGTGATGCATACACATGTATGCCTTTCTGTTCCTTTTTCTACTGGCGTTATCGAGTGTTGTTCAAAATATAAGGGATTCAGAACATATAACTCTCCCTGCTTGTGCTTGTAGAACAACGCTTACTCGTATTGTACTCTTTTTTTTCCCTTTGCTGACGAGTTAGAGTGTTCTGCAATATAAGGGGAAGTCAGAAAATGTTATACTTCCAGCCTGCCTTGCTTGTAGAACGACACATACATATCGGCTTCCTCGCTTCTTTTTCTGGGCGAGTTGTAGATTGTTGTTTAAAATATGAAGAAGGCAGTACGTGTAATTCTATCCTACCTGTCCTTGTAGAACGCCCTATACACTGGTTGGCCTCTTCAATGTTTGTTTTGCTGGCGAGTTATGGAGTGTTTTTCATAATACGAGGAAGTCAGAACATGTAATTCGTCATTACCTGTGCTTGTTATTGTGCTGGAACTCTTATTTAATATCGTTGAGAACACAATAAAACGAATATTGGATAGATGCTAATATGCTGGCGGACAAGGAAGAAGTAGCTTAAAATAGTACAAACACCGGAAGATTAGTACTTTTAAAAACAATACTGATTTCTTTATTTACCATTCAAGTCCACAGAAAGCTCAAAGGAAACAAAACCACTGCTTGTAAAAAAGGTCCATTTTGCAGAGTCCACATGGTAAGAGAATCTTACTGTGGAGTAACCTTTTCATGTATGTTGTGGTCTATCAGCATTTTCACTTGGAGACTATCAAAATGCTTCACGCTCAGGCATGCGTGTATCTCTTAAGGAAATTTTTTAGGGCGGCTTATCCAGCCCAGTAATTTACGGTGGCTGTCATAAATTTTTCTTTAAGAGCCACTGAACATGGTTATCGATAATCCGCCGACAGTTGCAAAGTTTCGCAATACATTTTTTTTCCAAATGTACCCCTTTGACAAACCTTTTTCAAATATTATATCAAAAAAAAGTTCTATCGCGCTTTACTTTCTCCGAAAAATCGAGAACTTCAAAATACGCTTACCGCGTACAGATGGCCGTTGTCCCCCCGATAAAACGATAAAATATTGTGCCAATTCGGCGACTTTGTAAGCCACAACGAGATGCGATGCCACTTTTAAATGTTGTATAATAGAATATGGTCCTTTTATCTCTTTGAAAATAGAAGTTTCACGTTATCTTCTTACGTTTAAGTCTGCATAGTGACCACTTGAAATAATGTATTATGCGTTTTCTCGCAAAGGAAATATAAAGGTCGCTTCAATGGTCTACGGAGAGGTCTGCCATTCATATTCACAGATGATAATGTACATCATCTAAAAGTTTTATCCTTGTAAATTTACTCCTCCAATTCTCTAACCTGGCCTGCCACAAGCGGTGCGTCCATGTTGAAAAGAGTTCGGGCTACTATATCAAAAATGCAAGGCGAACCGCTGAACAGCTGTTTCTTTCCTGGCCTGTCATGGGCGGTGCGTCCAGCTCGAAGATAATTCACCAAAAGAATGCGTTAAAAAAAAAATAAAGTGAATTACGAAATTTTGCAACTGACGGCGGATTCTCGATATTTATGGTCTGCGGCTCTCAAAATAACGTGATAACGACAATGACGACGACAGTAACACTGACAATGACACTTACTATGACAAGGACAGTGAAACTGACAATGACACTGACGATGACAATGGCACTGGCAATGACAATGACACTGGCGCTAGCACTGGCATTGACTATGACGATGACAATGACGATGACAATGACGATGACAATGATAATGACAATGACAAAGACACCGACACCGACACTGACACTTACAATGACAGTGACACAGACAATGACACTGACAATGGCAATGGCAAAGGTAACGGCAATGACAATGGCAATGAATGCGAGTTGTTAAATGATAATGAATCTGAGAAGATATTGACAGTGACATTGGTAACGATAAAGATGACACTTAAAATACGCTTTATGATTCCATATAAAATGACCTATTATTAATCATATAAGCAAACTATATTACCATTTCTCATTTTGCAACATCTGACCTTTTCAATACAGTAGAGCTTATCACAGCTACTTTTGTAGAAACCGGTCATGTAAAAACCATCCCGCTGGCATTCACTCCATCCCCTCCGGTCAAATGAAATGGTAACATCTTCATCGTAACAGTCTTCATAACTACTGGGCTGATTTTTTGGATGACAACATTTTGTCTCGTCTATGTGGTTCAAAGACGCGCGAGGGGCAAAACCAAGTCTGAGGCCATTCATGAAATAACCGGATGGACAAAGTGCCCAGACATTATATCTAAAAGAAAAGTATGCGATATTCAAGTGTTGCAGATTGGATGAAATTAACTTTGACTGATAACTAAAGACTATGCTGATCTCAATTACCAAACTAGTTGAATTTTTACTTTTTACCTTTAATTTTTTTTCCATAACTTCTATACGTATTATGTCATGTACTCTCTCTTAAATTAAATCTTTCGTCAGCAATAGGCGATCTCTATAGAGATGTTTAATTCTTCTGTTAGTTGCAATAGTAATATTTCACTGCTTAAGTCGGTCATGCCATGTTTGGTTTCATTTTATCTCTGCTTTCAACGATACTTAACATTCTGTAAACTCACCTATTGGATAAAAGCGACCGATTTGCATTTAAACAAGTGAATGACTGATTGATAAAAGTGGGTTTCTCGGCTGTTCAACATTTTCCAAATTCAATACGCCCAACTCTGTTAGCTCCCGGCATTGGATCATGTCTCCACAAACCCTTGAGGAAAGGGGAATCCCTGGGGCACATAGACCAACCCATCTGTTCCAGGCTCGCCTGCCAATCAGCTTCATCACAATTCAGGACCTGCGGTGTAAATTTTGAGAATTTAAAAATTACTTTAATCGTTATGCTCAACGAGTAGCAGAATCTTTTGCCCCAAGATGAAGCAAATATCGAAAGGAGCGACTCCCACAGCTATTGATATTATGCCTCATGTTAGCGAGTAATATATTACAGAGCGAGCTCTACTAAAATCAACTTATAAAAGTTCCTGAATTAGTATTACCTTTGCATGGTCCATTATTGGATGGTCTTGTCTCTTTATTTGGTTCTATACACTGCACCTCATCCCTTGAAGAATTTAGTCCCGAGCAGTTGCGCATGCGTTCTTGCTCTCCATCTCTTTAAAGGGCATTGCATTCTCCCCAGTCTCCCCATTTATTCCAACCAGCATGAGTTGTATCTATAAAAAATAGGGTTACTTTCGTGAATTTGAACCTTTTTTCGTACTTTTTTGCTGTTGTTTGTCGAGGTTGTTGGGTTCCTCTGCAGTTAAAACAGGCTGAAAATTTTAATCACGGTTCCATCTGTGGTGATAATAAATTCTATTGTTTTGTGTTGTATATCGACAATGATACTGATCGATGTTGGGAATTGCATTGGCATTGAGAATGAGAAGGGCACTGGCACTGACTATGACGATGACAATGACAATAACAATGACAATGACAATAACTGTGACGATGACAGTGACAATGACGATGACAGTGACGATGACAATGACAATGACAGTGACACAGACACTAGCACTGACACAGACACTGACAATGGCAATGGCAATGGCAATGGCAATGACAATGGCAATGATTGTGAGTTGTTTAAGATAATGTTAATGATAAGATATTGATATTGAAATTGATAATGATAATGATGTCACTTGAAATATGTTTTATGATTCTCTATAAAATAGCCTATTATTAATCAGATAAGCAAACAATATTACCATTTTTCATCTTGCAACATCTAAACCTCTCATTACAGCAGAGCTTATTACAGTTACTTTTGTAGAAAATGCATCACTAGAAGATGCGAGGACTCCGGTCAAAAGCTGAGCTGAC